GGCTCCATGCTCCCTTGTCACTTGGTGACAAGGGAGCATGGAGCCGGCTTCCCGGCCAATCAGGAAGTCGAACAGTGTGTAATGACTCGCCGCCTAGCTTCCTGATTGGCCAGAAACCCGGCTTCATACTTCCTCGTCACCTGGTAACGAGGAAGCATGGAGACGGCTTCCCTGCTAATCGGGAAGCCGGGTGACGAGTCATTAAATGCTTCCTTAATGGGGCTTCCGGTATCGGTATTCGGTATCGGCAAGAACCAAAAAAAAAAAAAGATTTGGGTACATGATACCGAAAAAACGGTATGGGTGCATCCCTAATATATATTGCTGGTGTCCTGTTCTCTATCGCATATAATAAAATTGCATTGCAGTCATGTAGGCGGACTTGTGTTCAATGTTGGTCTAGAGCAGGGGTAGCCAAACTCCGGCCCTCCAGCTGTGGTGGAACTACAAATCCCATGAGGCATTGCAATATTCTCACAGCCTCAGACATGACTCCTGGAGAGAGATGCATCATGGGATCTGTAGTTTCACCCCCAGCTGCAGGGCCGGAGTTTGGCTACCCCTGGTCTAGAGTATTACATTGACCTGACCAGTGGGTGTGATCCTAATACAGTCGTCCTCCTAGAGCATGAGATGGTTGTCTTCTCAGGCTTCATTGGAGGTGCCGAGTTCTGTCTTCATTATGATTGTGTGCATTGATCGGGTCCTGTTAGATGTTTGATGTTCTTTTGTCCAATCATCTTATAATAGAACTACACTCGTTCGATAGCAGGGTCACGTTGAAGGTGTAGAATTGTATTCTGCTCGTGTGAATTGGTCCGGGCATGTTGGAGGTGTTGTGTGTTTTATGTCGGTATAAAGTGTTGGAATGAGCTGACCACTGGACATGATCATAACAATTGCAATATGACCAAACGTTTGTGGACACCTGACCACCATACCTGCGTGAGCTTGTTGGACATCCCGTTCTATATCCATGGCCACTAATATGGAAATTCTCCCCCACCCCTACCATTCATTCATGGCTAGAACAGCCTCCACTCTTCTGGGAAGATCTTCACACAAGATTTTGGAGGTGTCTGTGGCAATTTGTCCTATTTGTGAGATAAGGTACTGGTGTTGGCTGAGAAGACCCGGCTCACAATCGGCGTTCAGTAGGGTTGAGGTCAGGTACTGATGTTGGATGAGAAGACCTGGGTCACAATTGGCGTTCCAATTCATCCCAAAGGTGCTCAGTAGGGTTGAGGTCTGGGCTCTGTGCAGGACACAAGTTCCTCCACACCAAGCTGGTCACACCATGTCTTTATGGAGTTGGCTTTGTACACATGGGACAGTCATGGTGGGACAGAAAAGGGTCTTCACCAAACTGTGACCACAAGTCTGGAAAAGCACAATTGTCTACAATGTCTTTCTATGATGGAGGATTAACAGAACCATTCACTGGAGACCCCTGAACTCCGTCATTTGGAAGGGTGTCCACATACATTTGGTCATATATTATACATCTATACACATACTTTATGACCAAAACCTTGAGGACACCTGACCATTATATAGCCAAAACTATGTGTATGTGATGTACGCAGGATTTATTGGGCATAGCTGTGGCTTTGTATGATGTAGTATTAACAGAACCTTCACTGGGAGCACCTGAACTTTTTTGAAATGGGGTCCCACATACCTTTGGCCAGATACCTGAACTGTCCTTCTCTGATGGTCAGGCTAGGTTGGGAGGTGTAGCATTTTCACACAGTTTAATAGTAATGTATTCCAATCATGGCCAGTGGTCTAGTCTTATTGGAGTTCTGTTCAATGTCTGGTCAACCTAGAAGATATCTGTACTATGATCAGGTCCATTGGTCTGGTCCTACTGGAGCTCAGTACATATCTCTTCTAGGGTGGTCAGACATTATGATCTTGTCCAATGGTCTGGTCTTACTGGAGTGCAATGTCTGGTGATCCTAGAAGAGATCTGTATTATAAGGTCCATTGGTCTGGTCCTACTAGAGTGCAATGTCTTGTGATCCTAGAAGAGATCTGTATTATAAGGTCCATTGGTCTGGTCCTACTGGAGTGCAATGTCTGGTGATCCTAGAAGAGATCTGTATTATAAGGTCCATTGGTCTGGTCCTACTAGAGTGCAATGTCTGGTCATCCTAGAAGACATCTGTATTATAAGGTCCATTGGTCTGGTCCTACTAGAGTGCAATGTCTGGTCATCCTAGAAGAGATCTGCATTATGATCGTGTCCAATAGCCGGGACATGTTGGAGGTGTAATAAATTTGTATTCCCGTCATTTGGATTGCTCCGGTCATGTGAGGTCATAGCTGTGTTCTTTTTTTTGGTATAGAGCAGGGGCAGGCAGACATTGGCCCCTACAGCTGTTGAGGAAGTCCTGTAAGGCATTGCCAGACTCTGACTGGCATGACTCCCAGAGGCCGAGGGATGATGGGATTTGTCATTTCACCCCAGCTGGAGATCTGGACTCTTCTAGACCAAATCTGAATACCATTATAAGCCCAGAATCGGGGCTGTGTTCTCCTCTTGTCCAATGGTTGGCCTATGATGTTTGTGCAGCGGGGAGCACGTTGGGTTGGGCTTTAGTGGACAGGCTCCTTGATAAGCTCCCCTCCTCTTCTCCTCCGCAATCCTGTGATCTGTATACGCCGTCTCCCAATCGCGTTGCCGCGGCCTTGAGTGTTCTGTCAGAGTCGTCATCTCTCACCTATTCCGGCTGGAATCTCAAAACACAAAGCTTGTCCAAACTTTAGGCCCGGACTCAGCCGCCCTCAGCTCCTCTTCCATCAAGAAAACCTGCTCGGCGGCATTGTCTCTATGGGACACCTGCAATCTTTGAAAGATATATAAAGAAAAAGCAGAATTAAATATACAAAGTATACGTCACATGACCTGAAAACAGGGGCGTCCCGAGGCTGGGTGAGGAGAGACCGGGTGACGCCCGGAAGAGACGTCATCGCGCATGCTTAGTGGTGGACGCCGGCAGAGAGAGGAGGGGACGTTCACCTGTTTTTATTGGTAAAGAGGACCTGTCAGCCTTACATGTCCCCATGAAGAAATCCCCGACGTGTCACAATGTACAGCAACGGCATCATTTTATGAAAAGCTCCGCCTTTCATCAATAAAAAACATCCTTGTGCTCCAGTCAGTGCCTAGGCTGAGATGTCATCAGTCTGCTGCAGGCAGCAGGAAGCATTTGCTCACTCTCCTCTCCCCCAGTGATCAGACTGCTGCAGGCAGGAGGACGCATTTCCTCACTCTCCTCTCCCTCAGTGATCAGTCTGCTGCAGGAAGCATTTCCTCACGCTCCTCTCCCCCAGTGATCAGACTGATGAAATGCGTCCCCCTGCCTGCAGCAGTCTGCCCTCCCCCAGTGATCAGTCTACTGCAGGCAGGAGTAAGCATTTCCTCACTCTCCTCTCCCCCAGTGATCAGTATGCTGCAGGCAGGAGGAAGCATTTCCTCACTCTCCTCTCCCCCAGTGATCAGACTGCTGCAGGCAGCAGGAAGCATTT